CAATCAAGAAGAAGCATGGTTGGCAAGTCAATGCAAAACTGACAGTTCGTTTGAGGTTTGATGACATGATACGAATGGTCGAGGTGAGGAAGCTCCTCAATGATAAGTTGGGGAAGCTAGATATACCTGGTTGCTTAAAGATGGCTGGGATGAAGAATCCCTCCGTTTCGGACACTTTGCATAATCAGAGGCAGTTCGCAAAAGCTGATGTGCCCACCTGTAATTGTTCAGAATTACCCTATCCTAGGATAGGACATCACGTGCAATTTCGACTTCAAGAGTTAGGAGATGTTGATACCCTGCTGTGTAATGCTAATAATATACCGAAGCTTACTCATCCAGCCAGTGGAAAGTTGCTGAGGAAGGAGATTTTGCTGATGGACTGTTGGCTTGGAGTAATTGTAGGTCACAAACACTGTCCATTAGTGAGGAGGAGGCAGCGCGATGTATTACCACCGGTTGTGTACAAAGTGGCAAGTTTCGAGACATGAGTAAAGTGCATCTACTGAAGACTAGACTGGTGGGTTTGGTACTTACACCCCTGGGTAGGAATCCTTGGGAAACATCGGCGTTGTGCGCCAAGGTATACTACGAAGCGATGATTGTGCTCCTGGTGGGGAGCCTATAATATGCTGTTGTTGATAAGTCAGAGAAGGAGGTGATGCAGAAGATGAAGCGAGAGGTGAAGGAAGTGGATCTGCTAAATTTTGTCAAATGGGACTGCAAGGGGGCTATTGGTAAGGCATATGCCTCGCCAAAGCATAAACATATCAGTCGGTATCATCCTATCTGCCCTGCGTACTCAGAATCCACTATGAAGACCTGCAGAGGAGCAGCAAAAGCGTTCAATCACCTGTTGTACGGTGAGGTGGCACTATTTTTTAAATCAGTGTCAAGACTGGTATCCCGTGTTAAGGGATTCAACAGCAGCATTGACCGTCAGATGCAAGGACAGTCTAAGCTTGTCACGATGTCTTACGACATCAAACACATGTTTAGTAAGCTGCCACACGACGACATTGTGGCACAGGTTGATTGGGTCGGTGGCAACCATAAGGAGAAAGGAAGGGACCTTGTGAGTGTGAATCCCCGAGGCAGAGGTATTACATTTGGTCGGACTACAAGAGACGATCATTCACGTGTCATCAACTTGATGTTGAGGTCATTTGTGCGTTTTGAACTTAAACATACACACACAAAAGTGACAGGGGTGGTGTTGAGGCAAGTAGTGGGGATCCTGATGGAGGAGCACAAGTCCCCCACTAGCTTGTATTATCCACACGCTTGTGGAATTTCATTTCTTGAACAGTCTGGGTGGCCTCCGGAAGTTTGTGTTTGGTTTTTCGTCCGATGGATGATGCCAACATCACAGTCTTAGATCGGGAAGCGAAAGGGAAATCAGTGTCAAAGATTCGCGAGAAGATTGAATGGTGTTATCCAGATAACCTATCTCTGAAACGAACTGATGACGGGTCGGGTGTTGGGGATTTTCTGGGAGACGCAAATGAGGGTGAATATGCTCCCGCCGTACATTGGCTGTGTGCAACTATCCAAGAATGAAAAGACCGATTGGGAGGATGGGAGTTCAGAGTTTAAGAATGGGTAGCCATATCATTCGTGGGGCAGCAAAGCACAAAAGAGTGCTGTGGTTTCTAGTTACCTGCATAGGATCAATAGGAATACTATCTTCAGGCGGAGATCCGCTAAGGGACGCGATCCAATCTGGACTATTGTCAGCGACTGGCTGTGCTACCCGTCCCCTTGTTCTCGATGTTTGCTGTGTAACATGTGCAAGCTCTGAGATTTTGCTTTCAAGTTTTTTGTACATTTGCATTCGCACTTTTAGGTGCGATTCAGAAGTAGTACCGCTATTCCCTTCCTGTTCGATCGGGGAATAACACCGCGGACGTGATTGTGCCGCTTAGTTCTTAGGATTGGACTTGTATGTTCAGACAAATAAGTGTGTAATTCTTGAGACGTTGGTCTTTGGTTCTAGTGGTTTTAGTAGGGCTGCCTCATAGGCCTATCCGGTTAAAGAGGCTAGGCCGATCCTTGATCGGCTGCCATCATGCTGAGAAGTGACACTTCGGGCAAATACTTGGCCATATTACGAGCACTGCTGGTCTAGGGGTTCTGGTTTTGGGTCCCTTGCTCTTCCGATTGGGACAGTTATCCTTGGCTCTGTGCTTTTTGACCTACGGGACATTGCAGGTTTTGGGATCCAGCTTCTTGGTATCGATACCAGGGATGTGGTACCAGTGCCCTTGAGGCCTTTGGAACTAGTTGGTATCGCTTATCATAGTGGGCTGAATGTATTGGGACTTGTAACAGGTACAATACAAGGAATGATTGCACAGCTGTTAAGTCGTTTCAGTCCAACACCGTGACCCCGCTGCCATTTCTGGATATGAGAGTGGGTCAGCGGTGGAGGTGGGAGAGTGGTGAGCTCCGATTTTGACGAGGGTGAAGTTTGGCGGTTCCCCCTGAGGAAGACCATGTGGCAGCGTGACGGCGGTCGAAACCAGTCGGGGTGCCATACCCGATGGCTATTTGCAATCTTCCTTACACTCTTGTACTGTACTTGTGAGTCGACCAGCGTGAATTCACTGTGCATGCCTCGTCTGTTGACCAGTGCGACTTCACTATACGTGCACGAGTTTCCACACACACTCACTCTGATGAACCTGCAATCTGATACATTTAGGAAAGTGCCAGCGTGAGTATGCACTGGGTTCAGTAATATGTTCTTTTTGTTGCTTGTTTCTTTTTGTTTGCAGCTCCCCTAATGATTATGTTCGTGTCAGTCTCATTAAACCTATGAACTGTTGAAAACCTATAAACTGCTGAAATGCAGACTCAGGTTCGACTCCAGGTGCAATCAGATAAATTTACCAGGGGCTGTCCAGCAGCTCGAGATAGCACATCTCGAGCTGCTGGACAGCCCTAGGTAAGTTTATCTGATTGCACCTGGAGTTTGAACCTGAGTATGCATTTCAACCATGGCTACGCCGGACCCGGACCCGGACATTTCCGGACATGGAACCGGACCCGTGTCCGGTAGTTTCCGAACGTCCGGAATTCCGGACATTTCCGGACCTCCGGGAGGATCCGGACGGTCCGGATGCCTGGACAGGTCCGGAAATGTCCGGACCGTTAAAAAAAAAAAAAAAAAAAAAAAAAAAAAAAAAAAAAAAAAAAAAAAAATCTGAAAAAAAAGTATGTTATGCAGAATAACAATGCAAACCACTTTTGCCTCGGAGTCATGTCAGAATTCCAAACCAAACTTGAGTTAAAAGTCAAAAACGATAAAAAAGCTTTAAAAAACCCTTCAAAAACTAATAAAAGGTAATGAATTATTAATAATCAAAGAATTGGAGTTGTCTAATAAAGTATTATATAGAGAGAGCACGTCCGGACCCCTCAAAAAAGCATAAACGGGCCTGAAAAAAACCCAAAACAATTTTGGGGGCTTGGCTCCTCAATGGGGAAGGGTCCTGGACCGTTTTTTTTTTTTTTTTTTTCCCTCGAAATTTGGCAGATCCGGACCTTCCAGACCGGACGTCTGGAGTCTGGACCGAATCCAGACCGTCTGGACGGCGGTCCGGACATCCGGATCGTAGCCATGATTTCAACAGTTCACGGGTGTAATGACTGACATGAGCACCATCATCATGGGAGTTGGAAACAAAAAAAAAAAAAAAAAAAAAAAAGATGGTGCGACTGAAAGAAGTTCCTTGCATACCCCCGTTTGTATCTGGGCTTATAACAGCACCAGATGCACATGATTTTCAACACTTGCCTGCACCTGTGTAGACAAGTCAGTAAGTTCCTTCTTTTCTTTTCTTTTCTCTGTTTGTTGTGAGCCCTGCCAAAGAGGCAGGGCAGTCCCTTTCCAAGCTGCGTCCGTATGTTTCCTCAAAAAGGGCGCAGATGCAAACAAACAAAGATAACAAACAAAACAAGGTGACACCTAAAAGAGAAGAAAGTGCGGCAGGCATCCGTTGAAACAGGCGCCTGCCTCATTTCCGGAGGCCTCCTGTCTCCAAAAACGAGTCAACCTACTGTTTCAACAGGTGCCATCCTTCTTTTCTTTTCGCTGGCTGCCATCTGGCAGGTAAAAAACTATCTCTGGCTTTTTCTCCCCTCCTTGTGCCTCTTGTCTCGTCTCCGTTTTTTGGTTTCTCCTTCTGCCTCTCGTCTCGTCTGCATGTGTTTCTACATGCGCGGATGCACCACCAGGCAGTCCATTCGCCCCTTTTCCTTGGGTCACCGGCTTCCTCCGTCGCACTATTGGGCCTCCCCCGAGCGCTAAGAATGTCGACCAGGCGACTTTTTTTTTTCTTTCAACAAGGCTAGGGCCGTCTACTGGTGGTTTACACCACCAGTACTTTTGACCCTTCCCTTGCCGAGCCTCAAAACGCACTGCACGCCAAAAAGAACGAACCACTGCGGGTCTTCTTCTGGCTGGTGCCACCAGCCATTTTGTTCCGGTAGGCTGAACCCCGAAACTTGCAGCCGCATGCACATGATGTCGGAGAAAAATGGCTGGGAAATGTATCGGTGGTTCAGACCACCAGTACTTCTGAGCCACTTTTTCCCAGGGCTTGAAATGCCCTGTGCCCCCAAAAGGAAACAGAACCGGCGCAGGCCTCCTTTAGACTGGCACGGCCAGCCATTTTGCTCCGGCAGGCGACCCCCGAAAGTTGCAGCGTGCATGCAGCCCCGTCCAAGAAAAACGGCTGGAAAACATACTGGTCGTTTAGCCATTCAACGACCCAAGTACCCCATTGGATGATGTGGCTTCTTGGTTCAGCGTACACGGACAGTCACGCAAGGTCATAGATTGCAGGCCATACATATATCCCCGATGATCCCCTTCGCGCGCTGCCATGTTCCGTCTTCTCCTTTTTTTCTTCAATAAAATCAGAGAGACCAAGGATCAGATATTAAACTGATCAGAACAGATACTACACTGCGCCCTCCATCATCTCGATACTCACGTCATGAACGTCCTTGCATGCAGCCCTCTGAATCTTGTAGTGGGCTCTTTACTTTTCTGTTCTCCTATGCTCGATCGAAAGCGGCTGTGGCACTGACGGCACATGGAACCCAATTACTCCTCTCTTCTCACCAGTCCCAAGGCAGCGTGCACAGTAACTTAACCCGCTACCTCGACAGTACCAGCACCATTTTGGCCATTCTCCTCTGGGAAGGATAGCCAAATGACTCATATTGGTGCGGCCCCTTCCGTGGCAGCGATCACATCGGATTTTCCCAGTGCCCTTACAGACCACACAAGGCGGGTCAGGCCTTTCTGGCGCATGCTTTGCCACATTGGACTCAGTTTTCACCAGCATGGTTTGCTTTGGACGTAAGCGCCATGGGGGGACACCTGCTGATCTGGCATCCTGCATTGCTGCAAAGCCAATAGCTGTGACACTTGCCGCCATAACAGCACCCACCATTCCATCAATCACAGTTGACTCCATTGGCATACAAGTCAGGTCCGGGTTGCTCGCGCCCTTGTCCCTCAATCCAGCTATAATCTCTCTCTCTCTCTCTCTCTCTCTCTCTCTCTCTCTCTCTCTCTCTCTCTCTCTCTCTCTCTCTCTCTCTCTCTCTCACACACACACACACACACACACACACCCGCTGCACAGCATCCAACAACGCTGAAAATGTGGTCGGCGCCCCGCAATGCTGGAATGAGTCGTGGCAGAGCTGCACGGTCGCCCCCAGTTCAGAGCGCTTTGGCAAATTCAAAAAAAAAAAAAAAGAATTAGCATTTTGCTTTATAACAATTCTGTTACTTGGTGGAATCTTTTTTTTTTTTCCCCTTTTTTTAAGAAGGAAAATGATCAAAGGAAAAACAAAAAACAAAACACAAAAGACTGAAGGCTGCATTACATACAGTTAACAGATGACTCCCTACGGTAGTAGCCATCTCTACTCGAAACAAAAGACCTGAAGGAACATTCTTTTTTTTTCTCTTTTTCCCTCAGAATCACTACTCAGGTTTCCTTCACGGTAAAAAAAGGTCGTCTCAAAAAAATTAGAAAAAAAAAAGGTGCCTCGACCAATCCGTCACTACTCGCTAAATATGCAAAATGAGAATGCATCTTCTGCTAGAACATGCAAACATACACCGCCATATTTTTTAATTTTTTTTTGTCTTTTGTGAATGTGGGAGTAGAGGAGCATGGCCCTGTAGGTCGGGCACCGCACCTGCTGGAAAGTGGTGGGTCAAACAGCCCAAGCGATAACCAATGTCCAAAAGCGCTGTGGAAAAGCAAAAGGAGGTCCAACGAGGCGGAGGCGGCGGCGGCGGCTTCTAAACCCAGACTCAAAGCTCTTTCATCAACCACCAAGCGAGGGCGTCCATCTGCTAAACAGTGAGATGAGCTCTGCACAAGTCATTGCTGCCAGATTGAGAATTCACCAAATGTTTTTTTTACTTTCAGCAGATTCCCAGCACATCGGCCTTGTAAAAGGGGAGACTGTGTCCAACAGGTTATTTTTACGACATACTCAACCTCACGTGAGGATTGAGCCCTCAACGGGGCCTTGCCGACATACATATGTTCTGGGTATAGGCCCCCAGCAAGCCTCGTGCCCGCCCTAAGTGAAGGCAGGCCAGAATCTCCACGAGAGGCCTTCATTCAGCATTTCCCAAAGTGGGTATCAGACAGTTGCCGCAAACCAGTTGGTTGGAGTGCATCGTGAGCCTCTGATTCCTGCAAAGGCAGTTGAGCCCAGGGCCGCGGTTAGTTGAGCCCTGGGCGACAGTCTGGGAGGCCGACACATCCCACATTGGTCCCTGGCCTATGGAAAAGCAGTATTTCGTCGTAGAGGCCGGGGAAGCCAATGGGAAACCGGTACGGGGCCTGAATCTAGAC